CCCTAACCCTTAACCTAACCCTAAACCTAACCCTAACCCTTACCTAACCCTAACCCTAACCCTTAACCTAACCCTAACCCTAAACCTAACCCCTTACCTTAACTTGAATCGGCTTGCTTTCAAAGCGCTATTTAAAGCGCCCTTCTTTCTCCGCGCTCGCTGTGTCGCCCTGTCGATGACATCAGCGACCCGGTTTAATCGGGCGCGCTTTAGTCGAGCACGGTTTTGTCGTGCCACGAGTCACACACTTAAAACTTCCTGCTATAAGATCCTAGGCAGATCATTTTAGAAGACAGAGTTGAGTGGGACTAATTTATGGTAAAATGTAGATGATGAGATTGCAGCTCATTTAGTTCAATTTATCTTAACTAGATTAAGAAAGTATTTTTATAGCAAAATTGGTAATTGATTACCTACCAAAGATAATGCTTGCAGCATTTTCTAAGTATGTATCAGGAGAGCAAAGATTAATTAGTTAGATTCACAATCATTCATATCCAAAGGATACTCCCTGAAATTAAAGGGACCTAACTTAATTTCCTATTGATTGCAGGGGATGTATGCTAAGCATACCAAAGTTGTAATTTGAGGCAATAAAAACTACTTATACACCCTTAATTTTATTTACTGCTCAGTATAACATGCCCAACTACAACTTTTATTCTGAAATCTTTCAGATCAACAAGTTGCACTCTGCACCAAGAAGCTCCCTTCAAAACTTAAAAGAATATTACACATTTATTTATTCCCTTTGTGGAACTGCGTAACTGAAATGACTCAAGGCAGAACAATACAGGACAAATATAGTAATGGCAGTAGGTTGTGCAATATACAACATTCCAGTTCTTAGTGGTTTTTCTGAAAGTCAGCAAAAAATATACAACAGAATACAATCTATGATAAATCATAGATTAATAAACAGTGATTACCGCATCAAAATACTTTTTTGATGTCTCAAGTTGCCATTTCAGTGAAACGTTTCTGTAAGTTTGTGTGGGTTAATGTCTATGTGAGTTAATTCTAAGTTGGTTACTGGGATAAATATTGGAAAGCAAACAAAGAAACAGAAATGCATTGGAAGTGGGAGTAGGTAGAATCAAAGTAGCCTGCCTTTTTAAACACTTTCTCCCTTTCCACTTTCCAAAATTAAGAAACCTGAACATGAATAATATAAAAGAGAAGGACTCTCACAAGGAAGAAGGAAGGAGAAAAAGGAAGAGGAGGACAGGAAATGATACTTCTAACCTTTGCTCCATCTCTTCCTGGTGCACCTGGAGGACCCTAGAAGATAAATTTGCATTCCTCAAAAACTTGGCGTCAAATATGATCAAGAGATTATACACACTCAAGAATGGAGACATCATACTGACCACAGGCCCTCTTCTGCCCTGCTTAATGTGAGAGAGGTCTGGAGATGGTCCCATCGGCCCCATGGCTCCTCTAGGGCCTGGCACCCCAGGAGGACCAGGGGAGCCAGGAAATCCAGGGCTCCCTTTTGGACCAGCGACCCCTGGAATGAAAACATGTAACAGTAAAATTAAGGCTGCGGGTGGCTTCGTTGGACAATTTTGCATAAAAGGGGATATTTATGATTGTTCTAAGTCGAGCATTGGAAGTCATTTTTAGGGCTGTTGACAAGGTTTTTAAAATAATTACAAATAAATCAGCCTCAGGGGGAACAAAAACCCTAGCAAATTAAATAAAAAAGGGAGTCAACAGCAATTAAAAATATTCCAGAAGTGCTTTAAAAGCCAAGTGAAGCTTTTTTTGTTAGTGCCAAGGAAATCAGGATGTATTTCAATTACTCTTATATAACTTGATGAATTAGAAGTCTGGGATGCAATCCTTATATTAAAAAGGAGAGAAATTCAAATAATGCATAACTCGGAGAAGCAATTACTTGTCCAGGACACTGTCAGACATCAGGCGGAGAATGCTCACCACGGACCTATTTGTAAGTGGAAGCGAAAGGCCTGTCTGGTTGTGAAAATTCTTCCTTTAAGCTAAAGAAAAAGGCAGGGAGGTGTCCCATAAAATATGTTTCTACTTCCCGGTGTAGAAAATGAACTTGATTCCACGTTAATGGCTCGCTTTCCAGATCAAAACCCACTCGCACAAACCGAGGGCTTTTGGCTTTGACACTGACAATAGTTTCTGTTAGGAATATAATCTAACGGTTGGGTTGGCAATATATAAATCATGCAACAATGCTATACCTGTTTCTTTAAAT